CGCCGGATGGATGGATGTGTGTTGATCCTCCTGAGATGGCTGTGTGTTGATGGATGAATGGCTGTGTGTCGATGGATGAATGGGAGTTGATCATGGGGCTGTGTAGATCGATCTTGTTGATGCCCCTTACTGGATGGCTCTCGGTGGCTTTATATAGGCACAGAGGGAAACCTAACGAGCGAGCGCGCATACTGAGGCACCGCCGCGGCCGCGCGTGTTTGTTCCGATACCTACGGGCGGCGTTGCTGCAGATCACGCTCATCCGAATCAACTGGATAAGACGGAGTTTGTTGGTTGGGTTTATCCGGCGCTAGCCGCGCACATCAGTAGCTTGCAGTTGAGAAATCCCACGTACGCGTGTATTCTGATACAATCGCATATATACGATGAGAACGAAATGTGTCTATGGGCTGCCGTCCCACGTGCAGCTTCACATTTCAACCGTGTAGCTAGCTGTTGCTTCTTAACTCATAGAAACCACCCGGTATTTCTATACGTATGCATACATGTACATACATATAGTCACGAGCGCTCGTGTATGAGCTGCTCACTCAAGTCTCCTTGTGCATGCATGCGTACATATAGATTAGCTAAGCATGTATATATGGCTCAACACACACATGTATAGCCATATAGATGGACATATATATGCCAGTACGTGCATGGCTCATGCATGAATCAATGTTTAATTAACTGGCTTAGCACATTGGCATTGCTAGCTAAACTGGTTCCTGAAAATGGCCATTAAAACATGCAATATATATGTAGTTATATTTTATAAGTATGTACAAAATACCGTCGAACACACAGAAAATGTGCCACCTTTCCTGCAACACGAAAAGTTAGGGCTTATTTGGATTAGAGGATCTTCACATGATTTTTAGAGGAATACTGTGCATAGGAATTTTTTTCCTTTCCTGTCATTCGGATCATGAAAATTAGTTGTAGGAAATTCAAAGGAAAGTGTCCTTTGATGCTGATTTCACATAAAAAGTACAGGACAAATCCATCCACCTCGAGCTCTTTTTTTTCTTCCTGCATGCAAATCCTAAGCAATCAATTTCCTGTGATCCGAATGCTCTCAACTTTTGTATTCCTTTGTTTTTCATCTCTCTGTTTTACACTTAGATTCATTTCCTATTCCTATACTTTTCCTATCCTATGTTTTTCCTATCATATAATCCGAACAAGCCCTTAGAAATTGATAGCAGAGTACAAATAATAATTTAATGTAAGCAGACCATATGGATGTTACCAGTATTCCAAGCATCAGGCAAAAATTTGCTAAATCCCAACTAATTTGGAACTAGCAATACAATGATTCAACTACCATCTAATGCTGCGATGCATAAGAAAACCTGATACATTCATTAATCATTACTACTATTATAACACTGGATTTGCATTACATGACCAATTCTTCTGATCCCCTCATTCTGAATGCGGAGATGGTAATGACTACAGAGATAGTACCCTTGCCAAGCAATACACGAAAAATTGTAATCTAACATCATTGTTATATGAATTTTTGAATTTTATTATATCTCACATGGGTATCTATGGGTTTCGTTTGGCAACATGCATTTTCCAAAAGACAATAAACAAGCCAACAATAAAACTATGCATGTATTGACTTTCGTAACACGACTTCATGCTGGGATCACCAGCTAGAGACCAAAACAGAGTGTTTTCTGTCAGCGCTACCAAAACACTACCAATCATAGCTCCTTACACTTAACAGACTTCAGTTCTACGAACCGAGAGAGACATGAGAGGCTTTAATAATGCATAATGCACAACTATCGGTACGATCTATCTACCAATGCTAAGCTCAGTAGTAGTCCCTCCGTTTCATAATGTAAGACTTTCTAACATTGCCCACATTCATATAGATATTAATGAATCTAGACATACACCCGTTTCATAACGTAAGACTTTCTAGCATTGCTCACATTCATATAGATGCTAGTGAATCTAGATAACATCTATATGAATGTGGACAATGCTAGAAAGTCTTCCATTATGAAACGGAGGAAGTAGTTTGTAAACATTTATACATAAATAAAAGGAAAAAGTACGAATTACTCCCCTGAACTATCGTGGTCGTCCGAATTACCCCCCTGAACCATAAAACCGGACATTCTTCAACCCTAACTATGCAAACCGGACAAATTACCCCCCTCGAACCAAGGAAAAAGTACGAATTAACCCCCTAAAGTATTGAGTGAGTACGAATTACCCCCTAAACCTGAAAACCAATCATTTTTCACCCTCAACTATCGATACCGGACGAAACCCCCCCAGCAGTTTTGCAAGCGGTTTTGGTCTACGTGGCAGCCCAGTCAGCAATTCTTTTTTTTTAAATCAGTGGGCCCACATGTCAGTCTCTCACCCTGCTTTTACTCCTCACCCCCCCCCCCCTCTCTCTCTCTCTCTCTCCAAAATCCTCTCTCAGTGAGTGCAGTCACCTTGAGGACGACGACGAGCAGAGCTCGGGCTACGAAGGGGGCGGCTGAGTTGGGGACGGCGGGAGGAGCTCGGGACGATGGCGGGCGGAGTGGGCGGCGGTGAAGAGGGGGCCCGCAGCCACAGGCGCTCGGGACGCGGTGAGGGCGGAGTGGGCGGGGGCGAAGAAGGCTCCGGCAGCCTTCGGCGCTCGGGACGGCGGTGAGGACGGAGTGGGCGGCGGTGAAGAGGGCGCCTGCAGCTCCCGGCGTTCGGGACGGCGGTGAGGGCGGAGTGGGCGGCGACGAAGAGGGCCATTTGGCGAGGAGGCCGTTGACGTCCCCGTGCTTCGCCATCCGCCACACGCGGTCCAGCATCACAAGGCTGCTTGACTCGTCGTCCTGGGTGTCGGGATTGATGCGGCCATGGCCGACGACCTTGTCATCGTTGCCGTCCGCCTCCGTTTCCCGCGCCGGCGCTCGCCGCCGAGCGACCTGTGCCCACGCCCGAGAGAGAGGGAGTCCCGGCGAGGGGGGAGCAGACCGCGAGCCACGGGCCGCCGCCTCGCCTCGCGCCCCCCGCGCACCGCCCGCCCATCCGCCACCGCGCGCCGCCGCCAAACGCCCGTCCGCGCGCGCCACTGCCCCCGCGCGTGCCCGCCCATCCGCCGCCCGTCCACCCCCGCGTGCCGCCGCCCACCGCTCATCCGCCGCCGCGCACCGCCCATTCGCCGCCGCGCACCGCCGCCTACCGTCCGCCCGTCCACCGCCTCTCGCCACCAGCCGCGCCTGCCGCTGCGGCTCGCGCCGCCGTCCGCCCGTCCGCCGCCGCCGCCGCTCGCGCCGCCGCCCAGGCGCCCACCTCCTGCCCCCTGCACCGGATGTGTGTCAGTGTGAGAGAGAGAGAGTGAAGAGAGAGAAGAAGAGAGGAAAGGGAGGTATGACACGTGGGTCCCATATTTTTTTAAAATAGAAAATGCTGACTGGATTGCCACGTAGGACAAAACCACTTTCAAATGGATCGAGGGGGGGTAATTCGTCCGGTATTGAAAGTTCGGGGTGAGCAATGTTTGGTTTTAGAGTTCAGGGGTGTAATTCGGTCGACCACGATAGTTCAGGAGAGTAATTCGTACTTTTTCCCTCGAACCAATTTAAAGCGGTTTTGTCCAACGTGACGCACACGTGGCAATCCAGTCAGCGTTTTTTTAATAAAAAATTATGGGACCCACTTGCCATACTCTTCTCCCCCCTCTCTCTCTCTATTCTCTCTCTCGCCGCTCGCGTAGCACGCACGCGAGGATGGTCGGCGACGGAGGAGGCAGCGGTGGCGGCGAGACGAGTCGGCGGCGGAGGCAGCGAGTGCGGGGAGGCGAGCGGCGGCGGAGTAGGCGAGTGGCGGCGGGGTGCGGCGGAGGAGGCAGCGGCGGCGGTGAGGCGAGGCGGCGACGGAGGCAGCGAGCGCGGGGAGGCGAGCGGCGGCGGGAGCACGCGCTGCTCGAGGCGAGGCGAGGCGGCGGCGGAGGAGGAGGCGAGCGGTGGCGGGGTGCGGCAGAGGAGGCAGCGGTGGAGGAGGAGGTGAGCGCCGGCGGGGTGCGGCGGAGGAGGCAGCGGCGGCGGCGAGGCGAGGCGGCGGCGGAGGCAGCGAGCGCGGAGATGGGACCAATTGCGTCGCCTGTCACGCTCGCGCCGCGCGCCGTCGCCATCTCCCCTCAAGCCCCGCCCGCGCCGCGCGCCGTCGTCTGTCGCCCGTCGCCGCCGTCGCCTTGAGCCCCGTCCGCGCGCCGTCACCCCGCGCCGCCTCGCCTCCTCCGCCGCCGCGCTCGCCTCCTAGTCCCTGCGCCCTGCCACCTAGTCCCCGCGTGCCGCCGGACACCGCGCGCCCACGACGAGGAGGAGGAGCCCGCGGTGGCGGCGGTGTCCCACCACGCGGAGGAGGAGCCCGCCGCCCGCTGCGCGTCCCCGCGCGCCCGGTCGGCCTCCACCTCCGTCGCCACTCTCCTCCGCCGCACCCGCCGCCGCTCGCCTTCTCCTCTGCCGCTGCCTCCTCCGCCACACCCCGCCGCCGCTCGCCTCCCCACGCTCGGTGCCTCCGCCGCCGCCTCGCCTCGCCGCCGCTGCCTCCTCCGTTGCCGACCGCCCTCGCCGACCATCCACGCGTGTGCGCTGCGCGAGTGGCGACTGGCGAGAGAGAAAAGAGCGAGAGAGAGAGAGAGAGAATAGAGAGAGAGGGGGGAGAAGAGCATGTCAGGTGGGTCCCACAATTTTTTATTAAAAAAACGCTGACTGGATTGCCACGTGTGCGCCATGTTGGACAAAACCGCTCTGAATTGGTTCGAGGGAGGTAATTTGTCCGGTTCGCATAGTTGGGGGTGAAGAATATCTGATATTGTGGTTTAGGGGGTAATTCGGACGACCGCGAGAGTTGGGGGGCGGGGGGTAATTCGTACTTTTTCATAAATAAAATACGTTTTCATAAATAAAATACGTGGGACTTGAGAGAGTTTCAGGTGAAGAACACTATTGGATATTAGAGCATTGCACATCAGGCAAGTCGCATGGATTAACGAGTGATATCTTCATTGTCATCTTCATCCGTGGATCCGCCATACAGGGCACTAAAACGGGTTATAACTTTATACAAGTGCTCCACAAGGCCAACATCCCTGTCAGGATCAAAAAACCTGTAATAGACATCAGCTGTGTGTGGCCAATCCCAGTCATAGTCACTTCCATCCATCTTGTTGTGCTTCCCAACGAAGTGCATGCCAGCCTCCGGATGATCAATTCTGTGGTTATTTGCAAGAGAACCATGGCAACTATCTGCATATCATGAAAGCAGGATAAAAGACGGAATCAATTCATGCAAATATTGAAAATCATCTTCAAAGAAGAAAGCCGAAAATGTTGCAAACAGGTCAAGATGTTGTCTAGTTACTATATTACTATCAGAAGCAACTGATCAAGCAACAGTTTAAATACAACTATAGTTGCAAAACAGTGAACATATAACAGACTTTCAAAGGATCGCACCCTACTTTGAGTTATCATAATTTCAACAACGAAACATAACTAAAAGGAAGTTCAGATTCCATAAGTACATACGTACCGATGTCAGTTGGTGATGGTTGCACAATGGAACACAAGGTGATGTCGTCTTCATGATAGCCAGGGCGAGGCGGGCGAAGCGCTTCAGCAAAGAAGCAGACAGGTTGAGGAGCCTGCAGGGCCTTGTAGCTAGACGAAGAAGCCATGAAGTTCATATGGACATACACATGGAACTCCTCATAATCCTTACGGAAGGTCTCGCCATAGATGGTGTGAAGTTCATATTGTTCCCCGGTTTGGTGTGCATACTTGCGCAGCGCGGCATCTGCCATCTCAAGCAAGCCCTTGTAGCATCTCCTGATGTTGTTCCTCCTGTCATTGATGATTCTGATGATCTTTGGTCTCCGCTCCCGGAGAGGAGGCTGCGGCGGATCATCCGGTAGCGGCGAAGGTGCCAGCATGGCGGAGAGGCGCGCAATGTTGGCCGAGGAGAGCACGCTGTTGCCGGCGACCACCGACACCGCGTCGCGCTCCACGGTGGCCAAGAAGTGCGCCATGGCAGCAGGTTTTGGGTGTTGAGCCGCCTCGGCAGCCGCCCGAAACGCGGGGCTTCAGCCTCCGAATCTTGGGTCTCGTTTGCCAACATACGATTTGCAAAAGTTACACTAAACAACCAAAACTACCAATCGTGCATTATGTCATACTTGCCACAGAATATTTCAGAATAATAACACCAACGTTAAGCTAGCTCTGTAGTTTCAAACATTTATACGTAAGTAAATAACTGTTCGAGAAAGTTGTAGGTGAAGAATAGTACTGCAAGTTAGAGCATCACAACATCAGACAAATCTCATGGAATAGCCGGAGATATCATCATCGCTACTGTCCTCGTCACTGTCGTCTTCATCCCTGATAGATAGGTCTCTGATACGTGCTTTGATATCGGTTATAACTCCATCCAAGTACTCAACAAGTCCGACGTCCTTGTCAGGATCAAAAAACCTGTATTCGACGTCAGCTATGCTTGGCCAATCCCAGCCATGGCCATAGCCATTTGGATCCATCTTGCTATGCTTCTTCCCACAAAAACGCATGCCAGCTTCCGGGTGATCAATTCTGTGGTTCTCGATAAGACAACCATGGCAACTATCTGCATTTTGTAAAAGCAAGATAAACAGACTGCATTAGTTCTTGAGAACCTGAAATACGATCGTAACAGTGGAAAGGTAAAAAATTTGCCAACAGGTCAAGATGCTGTCTAATTACTATATTCACTATCAGAGGCAACTTATCAGCCAAACACCTCTTGGTTGCAAGAGTTACTTTCAGGCGCAAAAAGACTTTCCCAGCTACAGTAGATATATTACTCAAAGGATGGCATCCTACTTTTGATTTATCTCAATTCCAATATCAGCAATGCAGGAAAGACTTGTCGAACAAATGCCTCTGGTTTGTTTCATTAGGAGAAAAAAAAATCTCACAGGTGACATAAGATCTTCTAATTAAATGCAACAACAACAATATTTTACAGGCCTCCTGGTGAAAAGAATATTGCAGTTTAACTAGAATTTACACGCCAATTAGCAATATATGCAACCTTATATACTGCACATGCAAGCCAAATAACATAAGTAGCGCTTAATTTCAGTGCTGAAATTTAAAGGGAATTTGAAAGTACACATACGTACCGGCATCATTTGGCGACGGTCGCACTATGCAGCACAAAGTGATGTCGGCTTCATGATACTTAAAGCGTGGTGGACGAAGAACTTCAGCAAAGAAGCAGACTGGAGAAGCTTGCAGGCACTGGCAGCTGGAGGGAGAAGCCATGAAATTGATGTGGATATACTCAGCACGCTCGTTGCGATCCTTGAGGAAGGTTTCACCATAGATGGTATGAAGCTCATATTCTTCCCCAGTTTGCTGGGCATACTTGCGCAGCGCTGCATTCGCCAATTGGAGCAGGATCTTGTACCAGCCTCTGAGGTTGTTCCTCCTGTCATTGATGATCCGGATGATCTTTGGACTCCGCTCTCGGAGAGGAGGCTGTGGCGGCTCATCTGGTAGCGGTGAAGGCGCCAGCATGGCGGAGACGCGCGCGATGTCGGATGAGGAGAGGCTGGGCTTGCCGGCGAGCACCGACGCCGCGTCGGTCACCACGGCGGGCAGCACGGTGGCCAAGAAGTGAGCCAGAGCAGCAGGTTTTGGGTGCTGAGCCGCCCGATACGCGGCGGCTTCAGCCTCCGAGTCCGATTCCGCGGGTAGTGGTGGTGGTGGAGAGCCGCGTGCGGATGCGACGGCGGCGCGGAGGTCGGCGCGGAGGTGCCGGAGCGCGTCGTCGCGGGAGAGGTCGGGGCGGCGGTGGCGCAGGGAGGCGACGAGCCCGTCGAGGGAGCGCTGCACGGCGCGGCTTAGGGAGTTGGCGGTGATGACGGCGACGTCGATCCGGTCGTCGGCGTGGAGGGGGAACGCGGCGGCGTACCAGATGGAGTTGAGGAGGATGTTGTCGGCGGGGTGGTGGAGGGGCCCGTAGCAGTGGCCGCCGACGAGGACGCCCCGCGCGAGCGCGGTCCGGAGGTCGGCGGCGGGGAGCCGCCGGATGGCCTCGATGTAGTCGATGTGGATCAGGCTCAGCAGGCTCCGCCGCAGTGCTCGAGCTTCTTCTTCTTCTTCTTCTGGAGCCTGCGGCGGCGGCGGCGTCGGCGTCGGCGGCGGCACCACCTTCTCATCATCATCATCATCATCATCATCGTCCTCTTCCTCCTCCCCCTCGTCGCTGTCCTCCACCACGTGTGACGCCGGCGGCATCACCTCGTCGTCGTCCTCCTCCGACTCAGAGATGAACTGCTGCTTCCACCAAGGCAATCTAGGGGACTTACGCTGATCCGACCATATTCCGAAGGAGCACAACGGTGGGGGCGAGGAGGAGGCCTTCAGCGGTGAGCCGGCGGACACCACCTCCTCATTCATCTTATCACGCCCACGGCGGCGACGGCCGTTGCTACGGCGGTGAATGCGAAAAGAAAAGAAACCCCCGTTCTTCCCGGGCTCCGGGAGAGGCCGAGGCGGCCCGGAAGCGGAAGCTGGCACAGGGCAAAACTCCCGTGCTGAGTTGTCCTGCAACTCTGCAAGCGAGACGAGAGGTGGGGCTCAACTCAACAAGGCAACCATGGCAACCAGCCAATGAGCCAAACTTGAAAAGTTTAAGCAAAATACATGGAAACTTCGGCGGCAAAATGACTGATTGGCAAAACTTAGAACTGGCTATAACTTAACAATCTATTTTTTCATGATTTTGACAAGCTTAAACATGAAAGTTATATGGTAAAGTTCTGTGTCATATGATGCATTTATTCTTTTAGCAAGTACTACTACGGCACTTTGAGGAAAAGACAGATTTATCACGCAAGTAGTTGCAATACTTGGCACTTTTGGGAACAATTCCCTGCTTTATTCCAGTGTGGTAGAATTATTTTACACAGTGTGCCATTGCACTGTCAGCTCACTACATTCATATAAATATTTACTTGACAGATTCTTTGTCCAGCAAAAAGATTTCATAGGCTTACAGTACGAAATCTCCATGCGATCATGCCAGATTGCCTGTGTTTTCAGGCTTTCAGAGCACCTGTGCAAATGGTCTGCCCTCGCCTGCATCAGATATCCAATTGGATCATCGCATATGCAGCAATAGCCGTTCTGGCTTCTCCACAAGGCTTTTCCACTCATTACAGAACCTTGCAACGGTGGCGCCGTCAACAACTCGGTGATCAGCTCCAACAGTCACCTGCATGGTATGTACAACAGGATATCACACTGTAAGCTCAAGCATTGGAATGCAGGCTCATGGTAGGCGGAAGGGGTTAAGATGATAACATACATTGATTATTGAGGAAGGATAAACATTTTCATCATCATCAAAGCGAGGAAGTTTTTGAATGCGTCCGAGTGCAATAATGGCAACTTCAGGCAAGTTGAGAAGCGGAGAGCCAAACTTGCCACCAATGGCGCCTATGTTGCTTAGTGTTATGGTTCCACCAGCAATATCTTCTGTGCTCAGCCTGTTGTGCGATGCCATCTCATGTAGACGTGACAATTCTTTTGTGATCTGGTACGTGTAACCATTTTCAAGATGAATAAAAATCCAGGCAGCCAATAAGACAATCAATTATGTCTAGATGTAACTGGACCACTCATAAGTTCACAATATATATATCATCTAAAAACAAAAGGTGGTACTCTGTTGAACCTCATATAAGAAGGGATGGAGGGAGTATCATGTTTCTTAGGTCAAGCGACTTCAAAATATGGGAAACACTTTTAATCACTTCTGGCTAGAGTATTATCTTATCTCAAGACCAAGAACACAATAAATGTCGACATTTTCTAGGGTAACAATGCTCATTTCTGAAGACAAGCAATTACTTAATATCCTAGATGTCACTTACTTCATTGCATCTAGATCATGCATGTTATCTGTAAGAAAATAGAAAGAACCAAACATTTAAGTAACGAGGCAACTGACTGCACAATTATGTGGTAAGTGTAAAATACAATTATAGTTACTATTCAACTCAATTACGGGAATTGTTTAATATTTAACCCGACAATGTATTGTGCGCATTTAACTCAAGCAATAAATGTTTCTTATATTTTTTTTACCAAATAATTGTACTAAAAATCAATGAGAACAATCAGAAATATGAACCGCCAATTTTTTTTTATAAAATATCTACTAAAAAATTAAAGAAATTCAGTATGACTAGTTAGTTGCATGGCGTGGTGTAAGAAATTGGTTGCAAAGAAGACAATCAGAGATAGTTTCTTCTTTGGCTATGATTTGTCTTCGAAGGGAGCTCCTTTGAACCTTGTATTTCTTTACTCCAAATGTTAGCATATAAAACGACGAAACATGATTGACATGGTAGTGTTTTTTCTCTCTTTCTTTCCCTAAATATAATATTTGTTTCCATCTTCCAAAAATTCTTTTCTACCGTTTAGATTTAAATCAGTCCTCCTAAGAGTATCCAATAGTTAAGTATGGTCCATTACATTGAGGATTGAATTTTTTCCAGAGGATTTTTATGTTTCTCATTTTTCCTAGCAGCCGTGAAACTACAGTTGACTTTGAATGCAAACATGTAAGAGAATTGAAATTTCAGAAAAGTGAGGAAATACTCATGAATTTACATATAAAAAACAGTTGTTGGCTAGTGGCTACCTCCAATATTGAAAGCGATTGAACATTCTTGATGTTTGGCACCACTAATCCATGTTCTGTAGCCATAGCTACCCCAATGTTATGGGATCCTAAAACAACAAAACCATCCATTGGTCATGATACCTTCAGCACAATAAGGTGCCATGCAGAGATAATTAACATAACAATACTTTAGTCCACTACGCAAAGAAAAATGTATATTTTTGTTCACAGTTATCTAGATAAATGGTATACATATGCATTCAAAACTATAATATAATCTGAGATGGGGAAGTGGTGTGGGTTATAATACTATCATTTTTTAGTTTTTATGGGAGCATTGAAGCTAGTCAGGTACTCCTATCTGGTACCTAAGAAATAAGAAACATATGCCGTTGGTGTCATAAGGTATGCTGCACAAAATCAATCCAGCCCAAAAGAGGCACTGCTTGAGTTCTTTATTGGGAGTTGGGTTGATGATGAGTACCACCATATTTGGCAAATATAATATAGGGGTTTAGGAGAAGGCATACACACAACAAATAAATTTCTTACTTATAATTCAGTTTTAATGAGAAGCTAGATTATTAAATGGGACATCATCTGATGAGAGATAAACTTCTGCACCTCGGATCTCTTGAACTATACTTTTAGGATCCTCTTTTGATTAAAGGTAACAGAGTGTAACAAGAAACTAAAAAATGCATACCTTTGAAAATAACTTCATTGGTTTCCTCAACAAAACAACTGTTCAACAAAGGGTATTTACTCAGTGCCTTAGAAAGAGACTTTATGAGGAATGGTAGGAAGGTGTGCTTGATAGTATGATCTTTATTCGCATTTTGAAAGGATGCCTTAAGTTCCACAAGAGCATCACAGTTTATTTCCTCCAGATAATGAAAATGTGGTACTTTTGCAGCCAGGGTCATTGATTTGACCATTGACCTCTGGTAGCCCCTGGAGAAAGAAATGTTTATGTCAGTTGTCAGAGTTATAACTGGAGCTGTAATAACATATCAAAGTAGGCCCATCACGAAAACTTGCATGATACCTGAGAGAAATTCTTCTATCTTCATAAGAGTTAGCATCGGGTAATGATCCCCTTCCCTCCAGTAACTCCACTTGATCAATGTTCTCTTCCAAAGCTGATGTCGGTTCTTTGCAAAGACCCTTGCTGGCAGCATAACTCAGAACATCTTCTTTCAAAACTCTACCATCTTTTCCTGTTCCCTGAATATCACTTATGTTGAGCCCATACTGCTTTGCTAGATGCCTAACTGCTGGTGTGGAGAGTGTGCCACTAGGAACACTGCCTTCACCAGAAGGATTTGCAGCATCCACTGCATGTGAATGATCAGTGGATGAAGCTATACTATCATGAGATACAGTTTGGCTGTCGCCCACCATCATCTTCAGTAAAGTTTCACCAACCTAAGATAAGCAGATTAACTTAAGCAAAATAAATTCAGGCGAATAACTCAAGTATACCTCTGTTGAGATTGAAAAAGAATCCCAAAGCTACCTTCACAATGTCACCAGGACCAAAGTGAATCTGATGTACTTTTCCTTTGAAACGACTTGTTATTTCGATAGTTGCCTTGTCACTCTGTACTTCACAGAGCCTCTGGAATTCATCTACTTGATCACCCTGCAAAATGAACGAGTTAAAAAAAAAAGTCATTTCCAGAATAGCATTGATATCTCAGAACTCAGATAGGGGGCCTAAAATTTGAGATGAGGTTAAAGGACCTGAAAGAAGCAAATCTAGTTTGGACATTGAACCTCACTTAGCAGCTTACAAATCGAGTTATAGGCATCAATGCATTTTTGCAGTTGTTTTCAAGTTTGTTATTTTAATTATCAAGGCCAGAAACATGGATATGAAAGTTGTGAAGATTCCACTCACACTGCTCAACTGTCTAATCCGTTTACTTTGTGGTATTCACTCAGCAAGAACTCATCCACTGAAAAACAAGCATGGCTTTGTGCAATACTGCAACTGAAGTACTGAATGGTGTGCCAAAGCATCATCCTATTTATCAAATCAACAACCAGCTAGGAAAGGAGACCAAATTTGCTCATGGTAACAGCGTCTGACCGTCTGTTCATAGCCAATTTATAGCATGCCTTGTTATCTGTATGATACAATGCACCACATAGATTGCACTGAAACAGCATTCTCGCAACACATATGACAACTGAAATTCACCTCACTGAATGTACCAATTGTTTTCATGGTAACTACTAACAGACCAAACGCGCTTACTGAAATAAATCGTGCAGCATCAAATCCAATATACGACAAGTAATCGCATGATCAAACTAAGAACCGGTCGGTCTCTCCATTAGCGCGAGTAGCTAACTCCGTAGTGTAAGGTAATAGAAAGCGAGCCGTAACAAATGAAGACGCGCTGCGCTCACCTCAGTGACGAACCAGCGCAGCAGCTCGCACTCGGCGATGCCTTCCCCGGTCTGCGCCAGGGGCACGTCCACCAGCTCAGCCGCCGTCGACGCCGCGGACGCCTCGGTCGCGAACCACCTCCTCCCGATCCCCGCCCGCCGCCACTGCACCGTGTGAAAAAAATCCAAATCCGCCATCAGAGGGGGGACGCACAGGGTGACATGAACCGGGATATCTAGCGTCTAGAGAGAAGGAAGTCTACTGCACATTTAGGCCGTCGAGGAGCCACGCGGGCGACGGCGACGACGATGAGAAGGCATCAGGGGAAGCGAGGCGGAGCGGGGATAGGGGGAGGAGGAGACCGCGGAGAGGCGCCGGCGAGGGGGCGACGGGTGTGGGTCCCACCCGCGGCGGCGGAGGCGGAACCGGAGACGGCCGCGGGGCGGCGAGGGTGGGCCGGAGGCCGGAGCGGGAGCGGGAGCGGGAGGCGAGGCGGAGTACACAGGCCATATGCTCCTCCTTCTCCTAGTGCTGCTGCTTCACCGGCGTGACGTCACCGGCGATTTGTGTGCATCGGCGGGGGAGGAGAAGGTCTGGATGGATTGGTAGGCGGCGGCGCGGTGGTGGTTGTGGAAGACGACGGCGAGGAGGAAGACGAGAAGTGCGGGACACTTCGGAGCAGCGAGGGAGTGGGACTCCTCCCTCCGTCTCTCTTGGGAGTGTTTGTTATGTTAGCTCGTGGAAAACATGGATCAAACGGAAGAGGATAGGTGACACTGAGCTGAGCTGGAGGATGGAGGTGAATAGGGGATAGCTGAGCAAAATCATTCACGCTTCTTTTGCTAGCAAAATGTTTGTTTTCATATACCACCGTGCTCCGTACTCTTTGTTTAGGTTTAATTTTATTGGTTTAGACTTTTAGTGGCTTTAGAGCATTAAATTTAATGGTGAAGAAGTCACACTCCTACTTCAAATAAGTCAAAAATAGGTTGTTCAACTCAACTTTTGATTTAAGAGTGTAATAGTAGTTTTTGGCTTTAAAAAACTAAACAGAAAAACTTGTTCGTTCGTTTAGGCTTTTTTTTTCCTTATAAGCTAACTTACAAATCTAAACAAAGAGTGCCTTAATAGCTTAATTTGGGCCTTATACTCCATTCGTCCCAAATTATAAGGTGTCCTTTTTTAAGAAAAAATCAAACTCGCTAACTTTTAATTAATAATCATACTAATCATATATATGCTAAATATATTTTTATGTGATGCTAATTTCATATTTGTTGAGAACATAATATAGAATAAATTGATTATCAAAATATGTCATTAAAAACCGTGTAAAAATATACACCTTATAATTTGGGACAAAGAGAGTATATAATATAATAATCAGATAAAAAAGGTTATTTAACTTGACTGTGTATATCATCTATTATAGATATGATAATTAAATTTCTATCTGTTGGTTATTTAACATCTTGCAGTGAATGGACTATGCTTCAACTTTCAACTTCTGATCGGTTATACCAAAATATCAGTGCGAATTGGGTTACAGACCGTCTCAGCAAAGAACGTTTGGGATGGAAGCATTCAAAAACTAGATAATACCCTATGCGTTGCTGCGGGGAATAATAAATAAATTTCAAAGATGCACCATGAGCATAGTAGCATATGAGGAAAGAAAAAAAATAATCCTAAGTGATTGACTTTGTAAAACCTTTATAATGACAATAGATTCCTTATGTTATGGAATGGATGGAGTAAAAATTATGTGATGAGCTATCTAAACTTAGGTAGCCGTGGTTAAAAATGCAACAGAATTGCAGGTGAGATACATAGGTGCTGACCGGATAGACCTAGTATTGGAACAATAAAATTAAAGTCTGTTACCTCGTTGCTGAAGAATGAAAAATATGTACACCATCAATAAAATTATGCAGAATTATATGTTTAATGTCCATATGAACCTTTCTAAAAAATATCTATATGAACTGAGACTGGAAGGAAAATATATAGGTGGTGTACTGGAACTGATATCCTCATTGACTTGGTAGCCTTGTATTCTGCATAATGTATTTTGTAGTACAGCTCTCCCTCACTGATCCTTTTTAGCTCGGTTTTAGTACCTCAGTAGTTTTTTTAGAGGAGTACCTCAGTAGTTAATCTTGCAATAGAATGCTAATCAGTAATCAGTTCATGAATAAGTTGCTGAAATATCATATTTTTATTGCGGTAAGAAACGTACATTTAGCCGGAAGTAACAATTACTCCGTATTATTTATATGTTGTCATATGATACGCCAGGAATGTGCAGTCAAGGCATGTAGCAAATCTGGTCCATGACTACCATACAATTACAAAATTGATAACCATCACTAAAAAGACTCTCATTTTATATTCAAACATCTACATACATAGTCCAATTATCACTGTTAGCTGGGAATCATAACTAAACTGTTAAACGATCATAGAGAATGGTAGAACAAATTCCTGCTTAGCTATCGGAGTTGGGAAAAGGATTACCTCTAAAATATATAATTAAGTTCTCATCCTTCGTTAACTCCTTGCAGTGTTCATAGCTTTCAGAAAACTTCCGAAATACCAATATTACTAAGCAGATTCAGTCACAAATATGTCCAGATCAGTTGCACCAGCACCTTATATATACCGTGATATAACTTCACCAGCTAAAGATCATAATTGAATACCAATTAAAAAAACTTCATCGGCTTAACATGCCCATACATTCTTAGATCTGATTGGGTGACAAATCAACCAATGGATGTATATGATATTGTTTTCCATACCCTTCAACCGCTTAAGAGACAAATCAAGAGTAAAAATCAACTAAGTCAGTAACCGTGGGCCTAAAACCTGGGAAACAAAAGAGGATGGGAAACTACAGCAACAAAAAAATGTGTTAGAGAGTCAAACTGGGTAAATAATGCTACTATATCCTAAATATGAACCATAGTACAAAATTGAATTAAATATTGATAGGAGAAATCGAAATGGTGTGCATGTATAAGTGAGGTTCTATTTTGATGAACAAAATCCGATCGAGCAAACAAAAGGAAAAGGGAAATTGGTGTGTGATCACCTGTGTTAGATCATTGGAGTGATTGGAGAGATAATAGTGTGAGATGCATATGAATCAAGCTAGTATAAATCCAGGAACAGGAGCAGACTGCCAGCTCCAGTTGCTTGGTAGATCGATGGATACGCAAGAGGGATAAATTTGATATAGTGACAGAAATAAAAGAGGGATAGGAGGAGAAGAAAAAGCAAGCCATTAATTGATGGATGTACTTGATGACAGTCGTCGGCAGTTTCAGTTCCTCGCGGCACCGCGATGCGAAGAGGCGAGCAGGCACGGGAGAAGAAGCGACGCGGGAGCGGGGCGCGCGATGCAACCAGGGGACAGGGGGGCATCGCGCCCCGGGCACTGCAAGCGGGATCGCCCGGCGCGGGAGGCCATGGGGTGCAGGCGTGAGCACGCTAGCTGGGATGCGATGCGATGGGGGTCGAAGGAGCGGATGCGCGATCTTGAGATTCTTGACGGTGCGGCCAGCAGGAGAGGGGGAGAGGATGCGGTGCGGACGGGGATGCGATGCAGTGCAGATGGTTGATCGTTCGATTGAAATCCAACGGCCATGAGAAAATGAGGTCACGTGGAAGTATGGAGTAGAGAATTCCTAGCAGTAGAGATGATTTGTATAGGTATATAGGATTAATCATCTACGCAGTGACAACAGTCTAATCATCTACAGCGATGACAGTCTTCGGAAACCGTGTTGCATGAATCACATCATGAAATCTTGTTATTTTTGCAATTTTGAATGTCAAGCCTCAAACGAAACAAAAAATAGCTCATCTGAAATTTTATTGGTAATAAGTGCAAATCATTAGTGATAGGATTACCAACATTGTACAGTGTTCTGGATTGATAATACCAAGTGAAGCGTTGAACACAGCACTATCAGTCAAAGTTTTGCCAAACATCTCCAAAACTTGATGGTCACAGTAAACTCGAACAGGCTTGGAGCACCATGTAGCTGCTGGCTATTTTATGTGTTTACATGACACAAGATGCATTGATACATAATTCCAGCCCTCATTACATTTCAATATGGCGCAGCAAATTATGCTTCCCTAGTGGATTTTACTTATTCGAGCCGTTCCATCTGTCAAAGGAAACATTTGTGCGTCATCATCATCAAAGCTTAAATTAGAAAAACAAAACTTACTAATAGATTTTCGAGTACTAGCACAATGACGTTCAGAATATATTACAAGTTGCTTGGTTTCCACTTCATCTAGGTAGCAAAATTACAACTAATGCAATAATTTCACCTATCACTGAAAAGGAGGTTAGTAAGAGGGATGCATGGGGAGAACAGAGTACCTTCCACAGGCCATCATTTAGATAGTGCATATTGTCAACTCCAATTCCTTTGTTGATAGTCTTACTACAAAATTCAGGAACACCATTGTCAACAAGGCAGCACAAGAGGTTTTACAAACAAAGAATGTGAACGATAATATTAAGGAAAGCTTAAATTTTGTTAGTGCAGAAGATTGTATGTTGAGGCAGGCAATCTAAGAACTCGTCACAAATACATATTAAACATTTCTAAATATCAGTAATTCAGTATTGAATTTGACTGAATATCCCTCAAAGACTGAGTGAAGAAACAAACAAAAGTTCACACTAGACCGCTCTAATTTACAGAGTAGGAAGTAATGATTAGTGATTAATCCTTCAATAAGATCTTACATGTCCTTTGCTGACATCTTTGTATATCCAATTGCCAATGCATGCTGTTTGCCTTCAGCCATTATAGCCTGATAAACAAATTTCAAGCCAAAAAAAAGAGACTCATGGTTGCAATGTTCAGGAAGGATAAATAGTAAATAAATTTAAGCTAATTAAGATGAACAAATCAAATAATATAATCTTGTGCTAAAATAGGGTACAGTTAAGTTGTCGAATTTAACATGGTAAAAAACACTAAGATATAAACATGTTATATTGTTAACTATGACCACCTACAGATGAGATTCATTCTTAATGCATCTACAGTTGATGAATAGAGGTTTAGAGGCAAGTCTTTTACCACTGGTGTTTCCTCCTCAACTTCAACATCCAAGGAACCACCTGGAGATGTCAATCCAGGACACATTATGTTTGCACCAGAGAGAACAAACTTGATAGCGCCTCTATCCACTTGGAACTTCTTCATGATGTCAGGATCTGATCCAATGAAAAGGCAAGATTCATGGTTTCCATTAACAAATAACTAGCGTAACTTCCATTCCAGTTGATATTCTCCACCAGGAAAACTTTAACAATTGCTGGAGTCTATACACATATGCATGCCCAAAGATAATGCGAAATGGTGGAGCCCACACATAATGATTAACATCATAAAAAAAGAACTTAGTGCAGATTTCATGCCAGGAAAAAGGAGAGAAGAAAATTACACTGATGAAGAAGGCGCAAGGTTGGCATGTAAGGACCATCACGGATATTGAAAAACAGTGGGACATTATTCACCACCACAAGATTCAGATGATTTTGGCTAAAGAAAGAAACCAACTGTGATCAGTGCACATTTAAATAGTACAATCTTGCAAATTATTGGCTATCTAAGCATGCATATGATATGAAGGATAAAACTACTCACCATTTAACAACAATCATAGGCGACTTCTTTGGAAGTAAGTCATCTAGTAGAGGTTCGAGGCCAGGGTACTGCAATAGAGTTAATATCAATATAGCTAAACAGCAGAACTGAAATGTAAGAATAGAGTCGTATGCAAATTTGTTGTCGTCACAGAACCTCATCAGCAATACTTTGCCGAATCTTCCGCTGCACAGAGGCCTTAACTTGATTCTGCGCAGATATATCTTCAAAAGAGAACCTGAAGATAAAATAGAACAAGTTTGTTTGTGTGAATAACATATCCAAGTGCAGAATCAAATACAACCGATAATACAGAAATCATAGCTAATTAGAGCGTCCCAGATGAAACCATCAAAATCATGTGCTTGCAAGTTGCAACAATCAGTAAACAATTCTGTACAATTCAATCATCTGGGAGCTGAAGCTTCAAGTTTTCATTTCAGTTGCTTAGTATTTTTCATAGAACTATGTAATTCAAGAGCAATTAAACATTCTGAAAATAAGAGGTGACAAGAATTAATCTGGTCCTTGTTATAGGTTCAAGTCAGACATCTGCACATCTATTTTGGCTAGTGTATAATGCAAGTTGGAACTGATTCATCAAATGTACAAATAATCAGAAATGTGCATATAAAAGTTAACATTGGTGAAGTGAAAACAAATATCACAACTGTTTTATGCAATGTAGTGCATGAAAAGTAAGCCACTAAAACAAGCTTTTGCATTGAGACCACTCCACCTAATAGCTAGAAACTGCAGGCAATCTAAAATAACATAATCAAGCTATGCCATATAAAAAGAGATAATTTGATAATTGTTGTTACAGGGTTTGACTAAGAGAGATTACTATAACACCCTTTTGAATTAGATTCTCCAGCAGACAAACACCGCGAGAAGGCGCTGTAAATTGCATGAGAAAACCAGCAATACAGGCATGAAAACTTTAGAAGGCACAAGTGTGGAAACAAAGGAATGATGGACCAGAGCATGCCAGTGAAGCACATGGCACAACCAAGTGAAGTGTTACAGTCAAGAGGAACTTGAGTAGATGATAATTAATTTGTAGTTCCCCGAATCTATATCTTTGTTCTAAATTTGTAGTTCCACTACTTGATGCTCTGAGGGAGCAATGATGCCCCCTAAATCTAACATCCAATGTATATACTCTACCACACCAAGATGGCTACATTAATCGCTAGAGATGCAATTATGTTCATCAAGTGATCTAAACTTTTGAGTAACATGTGCTATGTACCACTAGAAACACAAACATCACATCATCCTTGCGGACGCATAAAACTAGCTCTATCCCCGAGAACGCATCATGGCCATACGAATACCAAGGACACATGGGAAAGCATCGTCCATCCAAAAGCTTCATCCCTCTTCTAAGCTCAAAGCCCCCTTCCGGACCGGATAGTTCAACAGCGGCATTTAAGCAAAAAAAGAAAAAAAAAAGACTAACAGGGCAGTAGGCAGATCCCCCACTTCCCGATCTAGAAGACAATCTCTTGCATCATCGATTCAGAAAATAGATGAATAAATTCCACGAATCAGATCGGTGGATGGCAGACCATGGAAACAGATCAAATTGCTGGGTGGGAAAGCAGAGGGGAGATGGCGGAAGGGTGGGGGCCGACTCACTTTTTGAACATGGTCGCCGGCGGCCGGCGGTGCGATTAAAGCGGAGGAGAGTCGGGAGAGGAGGTAAAACCTAAAGCTACGGCAGAGGAGGATGCGGCGGAACGGAATGACCCAAAGCGAACCAAGAGTCACGTGCGGTTTCAGCACAAACCAGGGGATACCATTCCCACCAGATGGGCCTAAACCGTCTAGTGGTGGGCCCAAAAGAAAATAAGCGGAAAAAGTTTGTCCGGCGTCCCTCAACTATCGGACGAGTTTTATGCGAATTTTTTTCATTTTTAGATTTTTTTAAATATTTACAGAAATAATCTATCGGCCAAAAAAAATTACAAAAATAGACCCTGCCGCCCCAGAGGTGGGCGGCAAGCTGACGTGGCAGACGGCGGGTCGACCGCGCACCGCCGTCTGCCGCCGTCGGCAAAAATGCAATTTTGGCAGCCCATAAAGAGCTTGGGGCTCGTACTTTTTGCATCTGGACCCCTTGCCGCCAGATGCAAAAAGTACCCCCAAATGATTTTTCTATGTTATGTTAATAATAATTAAAGAAGTATTTATTGGTAAAACTTATTAATATTGTTATAAAAATGTATTGAAGTTGGTTGTTTCGCAATTTCATATGTTAAGTAAGGTATTATTTTGTAACTTATTCAACGTATTAGTACTCAGATAATTGATATAGGCCTATCGCAGTCTCGGTCGTAGAAACATTATATGAACTTAAACAAGGAGAATTATGTAACATAAAAAAATAGTAGTACAATTTGAACATGATACAACTATTTCCATTGCGGTTACATAGATGATATTAGATTCGAACTAGGAGGGAGGTAGTGCAATAGTTGAACACAATGACGATGTAGTAATGGGACAAGGAAGCATGACAGTAGAAATTTCAATATGCCAAGTTGTCCGATAATAGCTAACCCCTATGTGAGGATCCCTCTCCTCTCTCAAACCGCGCTTTAGTAACCCTGTATTGCTCTGGTAGTTCAAGCTGCACAACACGGCTAGGTGGAGTTAGAACCCTTCTGGTGTCTATTCATTCTCTGTATTGACATCTCCTTTGTGGTTCCTGGGAGGAAAGAATAGATGTGAAGCGAGCAAAGTTAGTAAATGTTGTGAGAAAATAAGGATTCATGTAATCAAAATATTCTTACCATGAAATCGTCGTCAAGAATATTTGGACAAACAAAGAAC